ACCGACGACTTCCTGAGAGTGCAAGTGGGCGAAGGGCTGGGCTATAGTATGTACATACCATCCGAAAATAAGAGCATTAATTCAACGCAGCCGTCTTCGCTGAGTCGACTGGCTTCCATGGCAGGACGTGCGCACGCTCGCGCGGCAGCTTGAATCCATGGATCTCGTTCGCACATCGCCCATTTCTGCTGCAGTCAACTCTCCCTCACTTCCTCGAAAACCACACCACCCCACGTCTCATGAAGGCGTGGACGTGCCAGCCCAAAACGGCATACCGCAGCACACCTTGACTGGGGACCTGGCCTTCTCCTGCCTGGCCCAGACAGCCGACGAATCATCGCCGACCGCCGGCACCAAAGTGGATGACGGCGGGCGGATGACATACGCGGAACTCATACGAATCGCATTTCTCAGCAAGACAACGAAGCAGATGGGCCTGCGCGAACTGTACAACTGGTTTGAGCAAAACACCAGGAGAGCTAATAGAGCACACAAAGGATGGAAAAACAGCGTCCGCTCGAACCTCTGCCTGAACCAGGTTCGTGGAGATTTGCGAAGTGAGGGGAGGGCCCCTGCTAATGTTGGTACACAGGCCTTCCAGCGAGTGGACGGCAAAGGCTCCCTTTGGAAGCTTGCAGAAGCAGGACTCGCGGAACTCCAACCAACGCGCAAACCCCGAGCGAATCGCAGGAAAAAGGCGAAGACATCGACTGCTAGGAAAAGCAGCGTGGCACCGCCCTCTACACCGTGTGCATCCAATTCGCGCGATGTTTTGCCGGGGAGCATGTCCGAACCGGGTCACAACTACGGTAGTCCTCGGGCCCTATACGGCTGCACGTCCCCCGAGAGAAGCCAGCCGGAAGGGGACCCCTCTACCGACTATCCAATGCCGAGTCCGATTGTGTCGACGCAAGACGGCTTGGAGCCTGCGTACGATCCCCTTTGGACCTGGAATTTGGACAGTAGACGCTACGTCAACTGGCCCTACTGTAACTGCTTCTGCAGCCGGCACCAGCTTAGTTGGGTAGGCGTAGGTGACATGTTGCCTGTCTGTTCCACCACAGCGTATCTTCCCATGTTGGTAAACGCCCGTGTGGGTTCGAGTAGTCTCCCGGAAACGGCCGTCCAATGGAGGACCTGATGGTTGAGATTGTGAGGTCTGGGCGTCGCGTATAGTGTTGCAGTGCATTGCTGGCGGGATCTGTCGAAGGGTGCCCAGCACGATACTGTAATCACATGCTGTACAGTAGAAGTAGAGACAAAAGACAAAGACAACGCTCACTCATACTGTACTGTGCAGTACTACAGTACAAAAGGCGCAAATTCGATCTACTCACAGTCTTCCTACGCTCTTGAGTGTGTATGTCAAATTGGCTGTGCCAGGGCCCGGCGAGGTACTGTAGCCCACGGCACCCGCGTTGTAGACAACCAGGATTCGGCTACGTCAGCCAATTCGGTCGTTGTGTTCACTGCAAAGCCGGAATGGAAAGAATGGAACTACGCTCGACTTTGGACGAATACTCCGGCGGAAGTGCCTTCAGAGTGTTGACAAAGGGTCTTCAATGACAATCATCAACTCACGCCATGCATTATCGGCTTCGAGTCCAGCTCTCCAGCTCGTTCTAGCTTCTCAACTGCCCTCTGCCACTGCTATAAGACGGACCCGTTCCTCCTCTGCCCCGTAGTAGCTGGTAAACTTAACTCGGTGCACACAATGATCCGCTGTAAGCACACAGGCTGGCTGCGCGCCGCAACCAAGGACCAGACATACGTTGTAGAGACCACGGACCGTGCTCAGAGACTGCTGGACGGCCTGCCACGTCCGGACAGCCAGTACCCGAGTACACTCGTGCTAATAGGAAACGCGACCAAGCGGGTCGTCATGAAAAGGCTCGGCGTGGACATCACCACGCCTAACACAACCCGGGGCCACGGCGAGATCCATCTTTCCCTCGCCCCGGTAGGCGCGTCCGGCGCAAGGCCCACGCTAATTGCCGACGCCGACATCCCACCCCATAAGCGGCTCGGAAGGCCAAGAAAATCCACGCTCTGCCATGAACTCGTAGCAAGACCGCTGTCGAACCCTCACGGTGAAGCCATACCGTCCACGGTAGCGGAGTTCTCCGACCATGTCTACAGTCGCATGTTCCTCCCGTTTGCCGATGCTGTCTGCTTTTTTGCCGACGACCTTGGCGGCGTAGAGACCGTCGCCCAGCGGCTTGCGTCGTGGCTGGAGATGGGCACACCGTCTACGTCGTCGGTGCGGCCCTGGTTGGTGATTGTCACGAACGGCGGCGAAGAAAGCTCTACACGTAGCCAGTTGTTACAGGCCATCCGCAAGAGGACAGACACCCACGTGTCCGAACGCTTCCACGGCGTCCGCGTCATCAGCCTGGCCGACACGACTCCCAAGTCCCTGCGACGCCATCTGCATTCTCTCCGCTGGGACATATTACACAACGAGCTTTCCTACATGGCCGAGACGAAACGGGTCGAGCGCGTCCTCGCCAGCTGCCTCTTCTCGGCCACCCATCTGGCCGGTCTTCTCCGCCACGCCGCGGAGCACGCTGGCGGTGCCGGCGCGCCGCCCCTCAACTTTCTCGCCGTCTCTCGGCTGGACAACCCGGTGGCGGCAGATCTGCAAGCGCACCTCGCGCGTTTCCTCATGCACTGTGACTCCGTCGACGATTTGAAGAGATTCGCCGTGCCAGTCATCGCCTCCAGCATTCTGCTAGACCAGTACCCCCCGGGCATGCATCGTAAGGCACGGGTCTCCGTTGCCTTTGGTCCTTACTGACGAGTTGCAGTCTTCGATCCGCGCGAAGTCTTCCAAATGTTCTACAAGGACGTCTGCCACAACGTGTGCGGCACCGCCGTCCTCGCGCACGAAGGGTCCACCGACTTCGTCTTACCGTCCCAGTTCTCCAAGATGATCGAAGACCAGATGACCCACATGTTCCGGCAGCTGAAGATGGGCCAAAGCTCAGCGTCACTCCACCGACAGCTTGCTGCCGCCTTCACGAAGGACTGGGCCAGGTTTCGATCCGACAGCACATGCTACCACTGTCTGCGGCGCCGCCCGCAATTTTTGCCGGAGTGCGGTCACGGCCAGTGCATGAATTGCGTCAAGGTGTTCGGCGTCGTGAGTGCGGCTGATCCGTGGCTGGTCGAGGTCGACGAGTGCATGCTCTGCGGACGAAACATTGGTATGCAGGTACGCGTGAAGCCGGACACCGCGTCGATCCGGGTCCTGTGTATCGACGGCGGCGGGACGCGTGGGAAGTACCCTCTCAAGCTGCTGAAGCAGCTCGAAGACGACATCGCCCTGCCCAGCCACCCGGTGCAGCAAAACTTTGACGTAATCTTTGGCACGAGCTCAGGTCTGTTAAACAGAACGCTGCCGCTGCAAATGCAACGCACATGTGAACAATTCCCAAGCTGACAGATCGTCCCAGGCGCCATCAGCGCTGGTGCTCTGTGCATCAACGGCTGGACGGTGGACGAGTGCATCGCCCGCTTCGAGTCTTTTTCGAACCACGCATTCACGCCCCGCGGGGTTCCGTCCATCCCAATTATAAGCTCTTTCATGCGACTGATGATGCAGGTCCCTGTTTTTGCCACAGTTGTCCAGGCTGCAGCTGTGCTTCTTTTTGACAGCAGGTATCCATCGCATCACATCGAACAGGCCCTGCGAGACATGTTTGGCTCCGACAAGAGCATCGCCGACTACTCGGCCGCCGATAAGATGGGTGCCATGGTCGGCATGACGGTCGCTACCGTACACGACGCAAGCGCCTGCATCTTCACGAACTACAATGGAGCGGGCGAGCGGGGCGGGGATCGCGGTAGTTTTCCCCGTTTCTGTTGAGGCGATCTGATACCGCAGGTTGATGCTGACCAGCTGGCTAGACTATGACTTGCTCAAGACGAGCGTCAATGGGGGCCAGGTGGCTTTGTGGGAGATGTGTGTGGTTCCCGCGCGTTCCTGCGCTAGGGCTGTGTCTCCCGTTTACTGATTGACATGATTTGCAGCCTCCGATGTGCCACTGCTGCACCGTAGTCAGTACCGGCCAGTTCCAGGGCGTGCAACTTGCTGCCGCAGTCAATTGCCTGCCAGGACCGATCAATGCTAATGGGTGCACAGCTATTTCACGCCTTGGTCAATTGACGGCCTCGGGACGTTCCAGGACGGTGGCTTGGTGGCCAACAACCCGTCTGCTATCGCCTTGCAAGAGGTAGGTTCGATTTTCCCCGAGGTCCCCGACCCAAGCCTTCTGGTCTCCGTGGGCACTGGCTCCTCAGCCCGCGTGTCTGACGGCGGTTGGCGGGACTGCTTTCCCCTCCGGCTGGCGCGGGCATTCCTGAACCGCGACAAGAACGCCTGGCAGCGGGTCGTCGCACAAAAGAAGGTCGGTCGATCGGGTGAGTTCTTCCGCTTTGATGTCGAGTTCGACGGCCCCGAACCGCCGTTGGACAGCCTGTCCAGCTTCGACGACCCTGATCGTGATGATGAGTGCACCTTTGAAGGCCTGCCAGCGCTGAGGCGTCTGGTGCTGTGTGCGAGGGCGGAGCTGTTCCTCTTTGAGCTGCGTGCCTCGCAACCGTACGTGTTTTCCGACGGGGGATACGAGTGCTGCGGACACATCCGTTGCAGGCTGGCTGCCGGCTCTGAAAGCCTGACAGAGTTCATGCGGCAGCTCGCTAGAAGCAAGGCTCGTTTCCGCGTCGGTGGCCATGAAGTAGAGGGCGACTTCGCGTCATACCCGACGGCTTTTCCAGATGGTCATTTCCGCCTGGAGGTGAAGTTTCGCGTCACCAGTCTGCAGGAGTCGCTTAGCGTCTGCCTGTGGGAGACACCCAACGAGGGTCGCACTATCAGCGGCTCGCCATTCACAGTGCAGCAGCTGGTGCGGAGCCAAAAGCTGGAGCAGTGCTTCGGCACCTCGGACCACCGTAAGAAACGATGTCGGGATGATGATGATGAAGATGCTAGCCGTAAGCGACCGAGATTGAAGCGGTAGACAAATGGGGTTGGTAGGAGCAGAGAGACGTTCGGTATTCTTGCTGTGATCGTGCCAGTAGCGTACTGTAGGTTTGAGAAAAACGTCATTGAGTCAAGAGCTTTGGGGTGCATGCCGCCGTAATGTGAATGCTACGAGTCATTACATGCGCGGAGCTCAGGGCTTGGGAAGCAAGGCCCAGCACATATGAGGATTGTGTAACTGAAAGCATGCGTCTGCCACAACCACGAACACTAAGCTTGTAGGGAGCCCGCTTGATGCCTGAGGCGTGCATACAGTGACTGGATCGGCATGAATTCAGGCAAGGCACGTCAACATTGTCACGCTCGCGTTGATTGGTGCAGTTGTAGACTGCCAAGATGGCCCGAGCTCTGAGCAGTTCCGACAACACAGAAGTTGTCGACGCACTTGTACTTTCGCAGATACACCTCAGCGTGGCAACAATAACGACGGCGCTAATCACAAGTCGTGGTTGCGACAATGATATGATATTCATGGGCTTGACGACGGTCCCAGTTTGCACATTGTCATATAACATGCTTACTTTGCCAACAGCCATGGCATCGACGACGAGAACGACATCGCCTCTGAACCACAACCATACGGACGATGTGATCTACCTAGGCTCAAGGACAGGTCCGTAGAGCGCACTCGGCACAAATCGACGCTAACGATACCACAGTTACGCCGACACCACATCGACCGAGGCAGCCCAATCATCCTCGACCTTCCCCGAACGAGAAAAAACAGCCGCCACGGCAATCGTCCACGAAGAACAAACGAAAGCCAAAACCATTGCGCGACGGACCAGGTCGAAAAACATCATCGGCGGAACGCGCACTTGTTGGTTGGATACGATCTCCGGAGAACAAGCGACATGCTGTATACGGAAGCCTCCAAAGCCACCGACAGCTGAGCTACTGGTCCATCTCGGATAACGGCGACAATGAAATGATCAAACACGAAGATATATACTTTCGCTCGATGTTCCAGAATCTGAGCCCGGACGAAGTACGCAAGAAATTGCAGGGGAAAATACGGAAGGCGAGGGGAAGAATAGTCCAGGACGAAAAGTGAGGCCTGTGTTGCATGCTGTGTCTTGCGAATTGCTTGTTGGGGGCTCGGCTCGTCCGGGACGTGCTGTTCGTGGCCACTCCATACAAGGCTCGATCAGCTCATGTTGACCCGAATCCCCTTACCGCCCCTCTTGGGCATTCCCAGGGCGAGATCGAAGTCATACACGACGTCGGCATCTGTTGTGTCGAACAGCCTCATGTTATCCATGGCTCTCAGAATCAGCGCCGCGACAGCGATATACAGTTCGCAGTATGCTAGCCTGTCGAAAGCCCTGTGGTCAGCTGGGTGCATGAACTGGGTAACCACAGACGGGATGGCAAAAACGTACTGCATACCGAGACACTGTCGGCTGCCCCTCGAAAAAGTGAGGAGATACCGCTCAAGACGCCTGTCTTTCCTCCCGTCTCTGAGAAGCCATCGCTCAGGAGCGAACTTGGCTGGGTTCGGAAACAGACGTTCATCCGTGTGTACCAGATAGGCCGACATGCCCATGGCATACCCTCGGGGGATCACGTGTCTGACGCTCACTGCTTGTGTCATCGCAGGAGGAGTCCACGTGCCCTGATACAGCACATCCTCATCGGGTGCGATTCTGGGCAACCTCGACGAGAGCCCGTACATCAGTCGGAGCGTCTCTTTGATGACAGCGGTCAGGTACGGCAACCGTTCAAGAACGAACCAGTCAGGCAGCGCTTCCGGGTTCTTCACCACCGCGAACAGCTCAGCTCTCGTCTTTGCCACGATTTCCGGGTTCTTAAGGAGATGGTACGTGCAGAGACTGAGCGCCGTCGCCGTTGTTTCCGTTCCAGCGGCAAGGAAGACGTTCGCCTCGCCGGACAGCCGCTCTTCTGTCTTCTCCTCGGCCGGCAAATTCGACGACAGGAGTGAGAAGAGCACGGTGTTTTGGTTCATCTGTAAACCAGCGTTATACGCAGCCTTGGCTTGTCGAACCATCATTGGTAGTTTTACCTGCCATCAGCGTCAGCCAAATCCAGTCGAACGCGCATGTGGCATACTTTGGAGTGGTATGCCAGGGAATATCGTGTCAGAACTCGTCTGCTGATCATCGATACAGTTCCAACCCCAGCCTCGCCGTGACAATGGGTTGTAGTTCCTCGAGGCCATCAGGCAGCCCACGGGCAGATGTATATCAAGGCTCATTCATTCACTACCCGCTGACCACCACTCGTCCGCCTCAATACGCATACAACGAACATAATGAGGCGTGCCGTGTGCTGCGACTTTGGGTTGATCAAGGCGGGAAGTCTCGCAGCTTCACTTTTGTTGTCCATGTCATAAACAACAACATGCTCGATAGCTCGCAAAGGATCGCCCAGGCCAAGCTGCTGAGCCACATGCAACAGCTAGCGTCTATTCATGGGCTTCGGGTTCTGGTCAAGTGCCTTGATTACCTATCTGAAATAGATGACGACCTGGATGCGGCAGAAGAGAGACAGCTCTACCTGGATATACTGGCAGCTGTATCTAAAGCAGACGTCCTCCGCCTGTGGGATGGCAGACCGGCGGCGGCTGCTGACCAGCGCGTCGAAGAGCTCAAGACTGCCGAACAGCGGATAAGTGCCGTCATCGAGAAGATCCGATGGAACAGGGATCTAGGCGACGTAGACGTCAAAAGCCAGGTCGAGCCAGAGCTTGTTGCCGCCCTTGCTCGATTTGCCAAGACCTGGGACTTGGACGAGTTCATGGACATGCACGAAAAGATCACGAGCGAGCCGCCGACGTTGAACGTGAGCGGCATATTGAAGTTGCAGGCCCAATTCATCCTACAAGCCAACGTTGCTCAGGCAAGCCTAACCAGTGACAACGGAGCGACGCCGACCATCTCCATCAGCTTCGTTCCGGACGAAATCCCCAACGTAACCCTCATCAACATCAAAAAGCAGTGCAGGGCGCTGTTCGCTCCGTTGGCGAGGCGCGTCAAAGAGTCCGAAAAGGCACTGCGTCAAGATCTCTACACGATGCACCTCATCTCTCTTGGCACCCCTCATAGCAAGGGTGGACAGCAGTGGAAAGAACTAGACGACCTCGGGCAAGCCGGCATGGACATCATCGGCCATCTCCACCTGGACGCGGGCCAGATACTGCTGCGCGGCCCGGGCCCGCTCCTCGGCCAGAAGATGCTGCTGGGGTCTGTGGGCCCGACCACCGACCGAGCTAGGGCAAAACAGGACTCGGAGACAGGTTTGTACGGCGCAGGAGGTTCCCAGGTGACCCACGAGGACATGGATGCATGCGTTTGCCAGAAAGCAGGGATCACTCCTGGCGTAGAGTATGTTCAACTGAGCCAAGATGGGTAGACAGAAGCAGCCGTCAATGCGCAGAACTTGTCATCTTGCCAGTCATGCCAGTCATGCTGCTTGCTAGGCGAACGTTGTGTTTTCATGTGGATGACTTGATAGAAGGACGGAATGAAGAGGCATAAGCCAGTGTAGTGAGTTATTTGACAGTCTCTCGGCCTCCAGATTGCGACTGTATTTCGTAAAGCCACATAAGGGTCCCAAAAACATCATTCAATTCCGACATACATGTATTGATTGTCTTTCCAAGGCCCTGCGAACCTACTGTTTACCTTGCAGATGAACGCAGGCATGCGTTCGAGGACTAAATCTACGCCACATAAGCATTGGAAGGAAGGGAAAACGATGAATCGCCCCTCTAAGGAAATGTGTCTGGCGTTGGCTTGCCGGTCGACCACGGCGTCACTGGTCACTTCACCTACGAGGAGACATCGTCTCTGGCACCCCCACCTCCCCCGATGCTATCGATGCAGGTCCAGATGCAACCCTGGATATGTGGAGTTTTATCATTCTTCGAAAACATTCATGTACAGTATCTGCGGGGTTGTGCTGTGCTGGCGTTGTATCAGCCGAGTCCAGAACTGCCTTGAGCCGAATCGTTTCCTGTCCCCACCGCGATCCAGAATGATCAGGTGGAGCATACCTTGGCGTGACAACCCAGGAATAGGCGCGGGATTTTGACTGCCGGAATTGCGGCCTCAACAACGAAGACATTCAGATACAGCGAACGGTAGTGTTTTGGCATAGCTGGCAGGTCAGGTCTTGCTTCTTTGGCGTTTGCTGCCTCTGGGGCTCGCTTTGGATGAGACGGTCTCGATGAAGAATGCGAATTATCGGTCTCCATTTCCCATGTATATATATGGTCGGTATCTCCAAACTACAAGTGTTCAACCATCGTACGGCAGAGCATCCAAAGTATCCCACAACACATACGAACAAGAGCATCGCCCGATCTACGCTAGGCAACGAAAGCCAACAGAATTCACCGAAAGAAGCATGTCTCTTCATCTTTCTTGGCCAAATGTGACCATGCGCGCCGTCGTTTATCATGGCACCCCTTTCGAGATGACGGTTCAAGACGTCGCCAGACCAACCATCGTCAATGAGACCGATGTCGTTGTGCGGGTGACCACCTCGGCCGTATGCGGATCCGACCTGCATATCTACCGCGGCTACATGGGCGGTGCCGTTCCATGGACAATGGGCCACGAGGCCGTCGGCTACGTATCGGAGATCGGTGACGCTGTGTCCTCCGTTTCCATCGGGGACTACGTGATCATCCCTGACACCGTATCCCCGGATCACTTGGAGATGGAGCCGACATCGAAGGAATATTTCGGCTTCGGCAACAGTGAGATGGGTCTCGGTGGGCTCCAAGGTATAAGCAGTCCCGTTGAGCACGTTGAGAGTGCAGTGAGCTGACGACAAGATGAATAGCTGAATACGCGCGGGTCCCTTTCGCCGACACAAATCTGATCCCGATCCCCTTGACCCGCGAAACCGCCAACTCGACGATCGAGCACGACTATCTCACGGTGTCGGACATCTTCGCCACAGGCTGGGCCGGTATCGATTACACCGGGTTCCAAGCTGGCGATTCTGTCGCCATCTTCGGCGCGGGTCCCGTCGGTCTGCTTTCGGCTTACTCGGCCATCTTGCGTGGGGCTTCCAAGGTCTATGTCGTCGACCATGTCGAGAAACGCCTCGAGCTCGCAGCATCCATCGGAGCCATCCCGGTCAACTTCGAACACGAAGATCCCGTCGCCCAGATCCTGGCACGTGAGCCACGCGGAGTGATGCGCGTCGTCGACTGTGTTGGTATGGAGGCTTTGAACTCCAACCTTGAAATGGACGAGAGCGTTGTCGTGCGACAGATGATCGATCTGGCCCATTTCGGAGGAGGTATAGGCCAGCTGGGTGTGTACAAATCTCAGGACAGCTCGCCAGGGGCACCGTACGGCAGTGTTATGTCGCCCACAATTCCCTTTCCTGTCTCAACCTTCTTCAGTAAGGGCCTGAGTTTTCGAACTGGAGCTGTAGACCCGAAGGAGTATGCTCCCCAGTTGATCGATCTCATCAACAGCGGCAAGGCCCATCCCAGCTTTGTGATCAGCGCAGTCATTGGCATTGAAGATGCCCCAGAGTACTACAACCGCTTTAATGGGAAGAAGGAGGCGAAGGTCGCCATCTACTTTCCGGAATAGACCGGTGTAGATAGTTGAAGGTTCGGGTATATGTTCTGGGAGAACCAAGGCTTCTCATACAATTCATACGGATCCCTTCAAATGACCGGGCCTTCAACTGTACCAATGCGTCGCCGAGTATTCTTCCTTGTGACATGGTTCGGATTTAATTTCATCTGAATCTCGGTTTCAGGCCAGCCCGTGAGTGCATTCCTGTGAAGTGCACTTATCGAGATCCTGTTCGTTGCTGCGAGTGTTCCCTGCACAGAGCTCTGATTGTCGTCTTGGAGGACCCCTCACATTAGACAGGAGCATGAGATAGTATAGAGCAGGGCTCCATCGGGTTACTCTCTTACTGGCACATTGAACCATGCTGCCGCTGTTGACTTTGTCTAGCTGTTCGTGTTCGTGAGGCAACATCTGCCACCGAGAGGCTGTTGTAAGTGAAGCAAACAAAACGTGCTACACCGTCGGAGACAAAGCCAGCAAGCTCACATCGCCAGGGCACACTGTCCGAACTACTGCATCGCCACCAGGCACCTCTATCATGGACACGGTCATATGTTTTATTCGTATCTTGCAAAGACTTATCAATTTACAGCGTGACAAATGACTTTGACTATGTTTTCCTGACTCAAAGTCTCGACTTTGGCGCCTGCTCTGCTATAACGTCATCCCTACTGGCGCCAAACGCCGGCAACCCCTTGATGAATGCGTTCCTGGATGCCTCGTCGATCAACGGGGCCGTGATGTATGCTTTCGCATTTGCTCTGTCCACCAACGAGGGCAAGAGGGGCAGAAGGCTGCCATATGCTCGTTTCTCATTGTCCCAGAACATAGACCGGGTACCGTAGCCGTGCTCGACAAACCAGCTGGAATCTTCCTGGATACAAGACGCCTCAAATAAGTCGAGCACTTCAGTAACAATGTTACCTTGCGCCTTCGCGGCCTCGTATGCCATGCGCTGTCCGATGGCCTCCACAATCGCTCTACATCGGGGGAGAACGCTATCATTGTAGGACGCGCCCCTGATGCTACGGGACAGGTTCGATGTAAGGGCCGTTTGGCTCACGGCCTCCTCGAGTATTCCGTTCTCGTACAGCGCAAGAGGTCTTTTCGGGTCGGTCGCCTGTGGAAGGCGGTATTTGTTCATCAGGATTTCGGAAGCTAGGCCTGTCGGATGTCAGTATCGAAGCACAGTTTCGCGCTGAACTAGAACCTACGGATGCTGATGACCAGAGTATCGCCCTCGGCCACGGAGTTTCCCTGAAAGGTCGACGCGAGTTCGCTTATCTGGTTATGCGCGTACAATCCTTGCCAGCCGCATCGCTCCGCTAGCTCCGAGAGCAGACGAGACGACCGGACCACCAGCACCTTGAAGGCAGTGGCGATCCCTCTGCGGACGTCGGCGTTATGCCTCGGATTCATAAATTCGCCAACGCTCCACTTCGCGTAGGCATGCAAGACTTCTCCGTGCGCTAGCGCTTTCAGGATCGGTCGCTGTTGCGTGCTGAACTGCATGATGGGCAGCTTTTCCGCGTCTCCAACCAGACGACGCTGGCTGTACGTGGCGGCGATACAGCCTGCGACCCTGATGGCAGACACGCCCATGATGGAGAGAGAGAGCGTGCCGACGGACACCCTCCAGATCTAGGCGAGGAAATCCTCTCGCTCGTTGTGCGCTGGCAACGGCGATCCGAGAAGCGCTTCGGGTCGAAGGCGCACATTCCGGAACGTTGTGATGGAGTGGTCCAGCGGTTTGGTCCCGGGTCTGACAGGGAGCACACGCGACACAACGCCATCGCACATACCTCCGGCGTCATTGATCCGTACGACGAAAGGCTTCACCCCTCGGTCATTGCCGCTCACGATGAGCCGAGCGAAGACAACAGCAACGCGGGCCATGCCAGCCAGCGGCGATGTAGGAGGCATTGCTTTAGCGGCGCCCGCGGTCGGCGTATTCAGAACGAAGGACCCGTCTGTCTCCATCGTCGCAGTGGTCTCCAGATTTCGCGCATCGAGGCCATGGTCGACCTCTGTCAACATGAACTCTCCACATGCCCTGAAATTCAGAAGCTCGTCCGGTATGGCATTGAGGTCAGGTCGCTCCCGGGAGAACTTAGCAATCGTGCCGACACATAAGTTGAGATGGATCGTTGCGATGATGAATGCCGTCATGTCCCGGGAAGACACCGCTAGGATAAAGTCGTTGAGCTTGGTTAAATCCAAACATGAAGGAAAACTTACGGTTGAAGTGGAAGTCCCAGAATCTTGGAGATAGCTCAGCGATGTCACCGATCGTCAGACCTGATCTGTGTTTAGCACCAAGGTGTTTGAGACCCTATGGTAAGCACATCTGTGCTCCTTACCTTGGCCCTGGCATATTGCCCTGGCACGCTGGTAGTGCAGCGGGATGTTGGAGCGAGATGGCTCGTGGCGACCGTCCGATGTGACATCCCAGATCGTGTCGAGGAATAGTGACTTGTCGAAGTCCATGAGGAGGCAATTGAAATGGTTTCAAGGAAGCGAAAGTCAAACGAGACCTAGAGGAGCCGCACACTAGAGAGATGCGCCAAGAGAGGAGTGGAAACAATAATCTTGAGGACCAAAGGCATAGTTACACGGTGTCCCCCGCAGTATCATGAGACTAGAATCAATCTTTAAGGGTGTTCAGTTAAATTGTCGCTTGCATGGAACTCTGGTTTGCCGCTGTGTAACAAAAGGAAGCCATGTCACAAGAGGTTGTGTTTTACCAGAGCCGTTTCCGGGCTGATACATATGACGCAAGATCATAATGCGGTTGTCTCGAACACAGAGCTTCTAATGGCCTTGTATTCAAGCATGAACCGGGGCGCGACCATGAGCGTCAGCTTCAGGTTCGGTCTGGCTTCGTCCATCTTCACAGCAATTCATCTACGTCATACATATAATGGCCATGATACTGTATAAATATTCAAGATGGCTCCCAAAGTCTTTGCACAGAAACATCTTCCAACAGTCATTGTACATGTCTTCTCGACCGTTCCTTGCCCCTTCGTTGTTTACACCTGCCATCTTCCTCCGCCGACTCGGTCCACGCCGCTGACGATGAGTACCGTAAGGTCTGTCGAACACTGCCAAATACTTCGACAGTTGGCAGCGAACTTGATGCGATCCATCACAGAATACACGCTTCGAGGCACAATGAACCCTGGTCAGCAATCCGCCTTGGAGTCCGACATCTCAACAATGGCCAGAGACATACAGCATATGATGCCGTCCCTGAATAGCCACGAGTAGCAGCACCGCCATACTTCCACTACAGAGGGGCCATCCAACTTTCAGCCCCAAGGTTGAAATCTCATCGCATCTTTGTTCAAATTGTTCAGCGGTGTCAGATTTGAGGTGAGTGGTTCTGGCAAGCCTGACCCTGTACGGATGGGCGACTCTCTTGCTCACGTGGATGCATAGGACGTGATGTTATTCGCGTAATCGAAGTGACTGAGCAGGATTGTTAAGCGGTGTTCTACGGAATCCAGGGCTATAAGACATCACATATACTTCCTCTTTGGCCAACCCATAGAATACGGACGGCGTAAGAAGTAGTTTAAAAATCAATTTCACAACCATCAACCAATTGAGCACAACCCAAGATAATACATCGTCACGCTATGCGCATTCATCGTTTGGAAGCGGGATCTTTCCATCGGCTTTACAGATTTATGGATCGAAAACCTCATGTCTGACTTTGCTGATCAGAATCTGCTTGTGTTCTGGTGACCGTTTGACTCGGTCCTGCAGCGCTATAATCACTGCTAGTACAGTTTGCGGGCGCCTCAGCGATCTGATTACGCGCGGCCTGTCTTAAACACTCACGCTTGCACAGAATATACACGGACTAGCCCACATCTCTAGCCAGGAGTTTCAGCTATCGTCTGAATAGTGTCACGGGCTAGAGCCCGGCCGAGATCTCCGGCTTTGCCGGAGCAGTTACCGAGATCCGGCTCCGCCGGATCCACTATTCTGCCGCAGCACACCGCCTAGTCCGACCGCGTATCTCCATAGCTAGGCGTCCATCCTTGTAAAGTCCCTTTTCCTCTTCAGCTTAGAATAGTCAATCGACGGCACCTCTACGTTGAACAAGCCTAGGGGCCAGCCCCTTACAAATAGAAGCTGTAGAAGAAAGTGCAACTCTAACACCATTGAACATCTCCGTTGTTGACAATTAACAGTTTACAGCCCTATCGGTGCTATTGCAATACGCTCCATAACCGAAACAGCGAGAGGCTTATTCGTCATTGCGTAGCTACGTAGCAAAACTCGCAGCTGCATGAGGTGGCTTGACGAGGAAGGAAAAGCATTCGAGCGGCCATGTCCCGGTCGTAGTCGACATAGCGTTTCCACTTCCTCATCATTGCACCCAACTTATCATACCCGCTAGGAAATGATCTATGGTGAACGAAGTCCTTGCGATGATTAGTGATAAAATCCGCAGAAAGAGACAGTCCGCTACAATGTTGACACGATACAAGTCCATTAACAGAGCGACCGTCAATTCGCTCCTTGCTCTCCAACAGACACGCATCAAAAAGGGCAGGCTTAGCTTGACGTACAACATCACGCGTGGAAGAACAGCCGGTTTAAACCATAGCTATTGCCGTTGAATGCGCAAGAGATACCCCCCCTAGTCCGCAGGTGCAGGAACTCCCGACCGCGAATGTGGGGGCTCCGCTTGAACAGGTGGGGTGGCAGGTCGCATTCAAAATATGCTCCCTCCCCCAGATGCCCCGCCGGATGCCCCCGCCGGATGCTAGCGCCAGATGTGCCCGCGCCCAAGACAACAGGCACATCTTGCGTGCGTCCGATGATCCCCAAAACCCACGTGGGTCCAGAGCCAATTTCGACTCCCGCATTCGCCACCAACCCTTTTTGTCTTCGGTCTCGTTCCAACGGTCTGGACCCACCACTCCGGTCGGCAATTCCACAAACCCGTCGCCTGTTCTAGCTGTTCCAGCCCCGGTCTAGACCCCCGCCCAACGAGAGCAAACTGTAGATGTTTGCCCACTTAGGCCCCGCAAGTCTGGTGTTTTCCTTCCCGCCCCACCACAGCGCCCATCTAGGATTGAGCCAGATGCGAGACTGTTTGTTTTCCCAACGGCCAAGAGCGGGTTTGCGACGTCATCGCACAAGGGGCGGCCCTGCCTCCTTGATTTCGCAGGCCTCGGGAGGAGAAGGAGGAGGTGGACGGAAGTATAAGTAGGGCGTTCTTTTCCCGGTTGGAATGAGGAACTTTCTTGGTGGGCTGGGCCTCCCACCCCCATCGCTGAGTTGCCGTTGATGGTGTCTTGACGTGCCATATGGCGAATCTTTCGCCGAGTGCCGTTGACGCTGTCTTGACGTTGCCATATAGCGATGCCGTTGGATCTTTCCAATGATGTCAGGCATGATTATGCGCCCTCCGTTAGTTGAATAGTCCTAACGGTGTGGCACCCCCCATTGGTTGAATAGTCCCAATGATGACGCCCTCCGTTAGTTGAATAGTCCTAACGGTGTGGCACCCCCCCATTGGTCGAATATTCCCAATGATGCCATTAGTCGAATATTCCTAATGATGATTTCTTTTGTTATCCGTTGGTCGAATATTCCTAGTGATGCCAGGCATGGTTATGCGGGCGGCGAAATCGGACTCTGCAACCTCCCCGTGGTGCCGCCTGGAAATCTATCACTTGCGTGATTGAGCCAGTGTAGAGACGTGACAGCATTTGAAGTGCGAGCGGTGGTGATCGCCATTCACTGGAAGGTAGTTAGATATCTATAATACAATCATCTCTTCCAACCTCATGATTAAACGTGACTCTCCGCTCTCACACTTCCATTATGATTGCTAATGCTGTGGGTGCTTACAGCCTTCATAGTATGTCCCTTTGATATCGTTTACCTAGGCGTGCAGTGTCAAAAGCCTGCGGCTGGAGTGAGCCCTTCTGTAGACGGTAGATGATTCGTGACGTCAGTCAGGCAGCGATAAGTGGGCGCAGTATCGAGCTCGCACCACGGTAATCTTGTAGTGACGCATCTCAAACATCAAACAATAGCCAGATTGGCGCCAATGGGGAGTAGATAGCGGAAGCAATGCAATGATACGAGGCATTGTGCGCCGGTCGCCGCTGGTCGGTCAGCCTTTTCCCTCACCATCACTACAGGTAGGCAAGAGCCATTGACGCCATCTTTGTGGCTTGGTGGGCTTCGAGACGACCCTCAAAACGCCTCCCCATGGAACAAACGTTGCCATTAGGATGGATGTGAGCATACCTGCATGGTGGTCGGGGATGCGTCTCGAGGTCTCGCTGGCGTTCCTTCACGGCATGTAGGTGATGCACTTACCTTGCCATACTTTGAGACGACGACGGCATATAGCAGTAAACCCCCTGGCACTACAGTCACAGGCTCAAGCTGATAGGTGGTGCCGGAAATGAATGTTGACAAGTACAACCCCTTCCCTTACTGGCTGTTCGCGCCATGAAGAACAACCACTTCAAAGACAAGAGCCATCACAGCCATGTCCGAACACTTACGAAGCAAGCTGTGGTCACATCTAGCTATTAAGGCGGCTTGTACAAGACAGAGTCTTTTCTTTCTTTTCGTCTTCTTTTTTTTTCGCTTTTTATTCTCTTTCTAGTGTCCATATTCTCTACGCTGTGCGCCGACTAACACAGTACATAGAGCATCAACACCCAAAACATCCACATGCACCAGTTTCCGTCATGTCTACGCCGACGATTATCAAGCTCCGCTGCATGCGCTGTCGCAAGGAGGCCGAGCTCACTACGACTGACGACCATGAAGACGCAGGCATGGTTGAGATTGGATACAACCTGTCTTATTGCATCCAGTGCGCCATAGAAACTGGGCACCCGACCGTCCGTCTGCCGATCGCACGGCCGCCAAAGCACATCGGCTGAGAAGCGGGCTGCCGGCCCCGCACTCATGTCATCTGAGACAGAGGGAACAAGAGAGAGGGCATCCCTCAATGGTTGCCCAATGCTCCCTCCTTCACAGGCGTGATGACTTGATGAAGCTCCATACCGGACAGCCTTGAGTTGGTTAGCATGACAGATGCAAGTTTGGAAGAAACGTATTTTAATTGTTGAGGGCCACATCCATACTGCCTCGAATAAATCTTGCCAATTCGAAAAGCACAGATGAAAGCACAGATGAAAGCACAGGCTAGGATGCATCAAGGAAACATGGCTACACAGCTGGGGTTGTAATAGATCTCGTTCCTAATGATCGTTCTCCAATACTATATCCTTGATGGTCGTGGGATGACATAAACAAATCAGTTCTCATTACATTTTTAACCTCAACTTGCTTAGCTTCACCCGGTAAGCCTGCTAGTGAGTATCGTAACCTGAGATGGTTCCTTCTTCTGACGAACGCAATGATATCTAGAATGCCTCTCGCGTGGCTTTGTGGCCTACAAGGCTGCATGCTCCGGCCAGTTCGAATATGTCTCGTCGCGCAACTGCGTGTAACTATCCCCTCATCGCTCCCAAGGATCGGTCATGTAGTGTGGCACGTAATTCAATCTTTCGACCCAATAATGTGTCTTTCGGCCCGCTGGCCCACAGATACTAAGCCCAAGAAGTGCCGTCTCATCACAGCCATGTTTTGATGAACCGTCGTTGCACAGAACTCAATTGTGTACGATATATTGTGATCAGAACAGTCAAGGCATCAAGACCAATCATGGAAGCTTCCCAATTCTACAGTTACATATAACGTCCTCGTTTCAAAAGAGCGTCTGCTTCTTCCTCTGCTTCTTCCTCTGCTTCTTCCATGCCTCTCTTACGCGGACTTTGAATCTCAGGCTGCGCTCTCTCCCCCGCATCGGGACTCTGTCCACCGATGTCCTCTGCCGCCGTCATTGCCAGTGCCATCAACGGAGCAAAAGCGTCTTCCGATATGTCCGCATTATCGTCATCGGGCGATTGGCCGTACATCTCCTGCGGGGAATTTTGCACTGTCTCGCCCGCAAAGCTTGGCTGTGGGTCTGCGATGGAATCTGACGTCTTTGGACCCTGGATCGACATGGAGAAAGCTGCCGGCGATATGGTGCCACAAGACAGCTCTATGGGAGACATTTCCATCTCCAAATGGCTTGATTAGCTCGGCTTGTGCATTGATGGTTCGATCCTGGGCTTCGACGCGTGCCTTGTATTGTTGATTATCTTTGTGAAGCTGCTGAAGCTGCGCGTCTTTAGAGGCAGCATACTCCCGCCAGCGCGAGATGCATGTCGTCATCTCGTGTATAATGATAGCAACAAGCCTCGCAGTGAGGTTGTCGGGTCTGCCGGTTGTAGAAAGCTGAGGTACTTCCATCTTGGTTCAAGTTGTTGTCAATACTGTCGCGTCGATCGATCATCTGATTTCGGTACAGACGTCGTTCTTTTGAAGGAAAGCAATGCCATTAGAGCAAGCACATACGGTACTTGTAGACCGCCCAAAGTAGACATGCTGTCGCGGTTGTTATGCGAGCGTAAAGCGATTCTTGCGATGTTTCTGCCATCGGATAGCCAGAATCAGCCCCTGGCGTTGAGAGCCTGTCCCGTCTTTCACTCGCCCCTTCTCCGGCAGTCTGCGGAGCGACTTTGGTCGCAAGATTTTGGCGTCAAAGAAAGAGCCTGATTGAATTGTGTTTGCTGCCAGGATGATTTTTCTCACAACTCTTCCCTATGGCCAAGGACTCATGCAAGCACGGATTTGCCTTGAACTGAGCCTCATTAGGGCGCGAATCAACACACACACACACACACACACATCTATACAGTGTCTCACAGTTGCCTTTCCATGATTGAGAAAGCCACCGACATCTGTTCAGCCGTATCTCAACATAGACTTGGTCGACGAGTCATATATGTGTACTGTGAGATTGCTCTTCGAGTGCTTTTGTTGTTGTATCGCCGGCCCAACTTCTACCTCAGTGGTGCCCTTTCCACAAGTGTTGTGACTACAGTATTGTGCATATGTCACTTCCTCTTTTGCAAATATTGACAATGTTTGAGAAGCTGAAAGTTGCTGTGATGGACCCCTTTAAACCTCCGGTAATGGCTGTGGCGACTTGTTTGCAAGCAAAATGTGGGGTCGAGATAATGGGCGACAGTGCGAGTGACGGCACGTAATCGAAGGCTACCTGGAAGTATCCAAGACCGGCTTCGACAGCAGCCATTCAGCCGCTGCTGACCGCGGTGGTCTGTATACAGTAGATCAGCTCTGATTCCAGGCTGTGTGGGTCAAGATCAGAAAAGATGAAGTGTGTTCCAAAGAGGAAGCAACTTATGCTCAATACTGTACTTCCTGCGGTAGTCTCTACGAATCTTGAACGGGATGCTACCGTCTGCCGGTCGTTCATTCGCCTTACTTGCGCATTCGGGGTGTTCATGTCCCAGGACAAGGTCTTCTTGAGGGTCCTGCGCCAGCCCACACACCCCTCATCGAGTCACTACAACCACAACATGAAAGATAAGCTAACAGGCCCCTAAGAAGGCACTTTGAGTCAGGACCTGATAGAGACAGTGATTGGCTTCTTCGACCGTCCCGGCCGTCCGGGTGTTGCCCAGCCCTGGTCGACTTGCTTGCCTGTCCCGCAGGTCTGTATGGATCTGTATAGCATAAAGTCATAGGTTTTCCCAGTCCCTCCGGACCGTTGCTTCTTAATCCATCTATCCCATACATGTTTTTCAAACGACCTTACTGACTTATTCGTACCACATCATGCCCATTAAAGCTGCACTTTCAATGGCAGGCCTACGATATCAGATTTCAGCAGTTGCCAATTGGTTTAGTAAGATCAAAGCCATCATTGCAGCGATCGGCGTACGGTTCAAGACTTTGTGTACGCCCAAACCACTGTCACGTTTATCAAGAGATCCCTGGCTTTTGCAATAGTTGCCAATTTCAAGAAAGAATATGAAGGAGATCGACTCCACCCTCAGGATGAGCCTTCATGGTGAGAAATGAGAGAACAGGCGCCTCCAGGGCTTACCCCCAGAAAAATCGATCACAGCTCGCCCTGAACCAGAGCGACTTCTACAGATCCGCTCACTGGGCGGAACTTTCATCTCGTATGTATGCATACAAAGTGCGTCAGCCGTAAGGTCTAGTATGTAATTAGGGACGAATGGAACGCATGGTGTAATATCTCGCGGAAAGTTGAATTGAGATCTTTCCTAAGCTCGGTAAAGAATTCCAGCCTAAATGACCATTTATACCGCTACTTTTGGCCTACGGGCGCGAGGACTGGCCTTAGCCGTGTTGAAGAATACTGATGACTAGTCTTACATTGGAGTCAGTTCAAAGAGAGACGGCCCCAAAATGAAATTGCTCAGTTAGTCGAGACGGTTGTGCGAGATCCTCGGATCAAAGCGCGCATGGAGGCTGTTGTTCTTGTACTACAGAGTAAAGAACGGTATTATTGGCCACAGTTCGCCACCAATTGACTTCGCTCCAGATATCATTGCGGGACCTGATAATGTATCACGGCGTCATATGAAAGGATCAAACATTACCACCATAACTACTATAGCTACCCAGAACGTAACAACCAGTAGCTCCAGCTAGCAAGACCACGCGATTCGAACCTATTCCTCCGCTTTGGATACGACGAAGTCCGTCCAATCTTCTAGAGAACGGCTACACGACTCTCTCCATTGCTGAACACCGCCCAGAAAAATGAGCGGCTCAATCGTCTTGTCCGGGATGTTCGCGCCAGTCCACCACGCAGTGCTGTTGCGAAAAAGAGTCGACTCGAACGCTTCCATTACGAGTCCTTTCCACAATCGACAAGCCTCCTCCGATGGTTCAATCGATTGAAGACTGTCCTCGTGCATCCGCTCTAGGAGGCTCACCACCCAGTCAACCTGGAGTTCAATGAAGGGCGGTGCATTGGTCTGCGTTGTCGGCCCTTGCGGCCCATATAGCATGAATGCATTGGGCATGTTGGGTATCATCATTCCAAGGTAGGTGCTGATACCGCTCTGCCAAACGTCCCTCAATCGGACACCGTTCTTGTCATGGATATTCATGTCTAGAAGGCTCCCCGTGACGCAATCGTATCCGGTGGCCATGATGACAATGTCCAAGTCGTGGTGCGTGGCGGCATCTGGTGGGCCTGTGAGAATGCCCTCTCTATCAAAGGCTTGTATTGGGGTCTCCTTGAGATCTACTAGCTCGACATCCGCTCGGTCCAGCGTCTCGTAGTAGTTCATCTCAAGGTTGACGCGTGTCGATCCGAACCATTCGAACTGTTCCAGGGGCGCGACGATGTCCATTTTCTTGGTATCGGTCATGCGGCTTCGCGTTCTGTGAACCCAAAAGTTGTACAAGTATGCATTAGCTGTCTTGTCGGATGAAATATCGCGATAATTTGATTGCGTTAGACCGAGGCCACCCCTGGTCCACAACCGTTCGAACAGGTCGTCGCGTTCTGCTTCAGTCTTGCAGAGCATCAAGCCGGAGTTTTGGTTGTACGGGAGGGCTGAAGACGAACTGAACTTGGCCTGCGCAAATATGGCGTCGTAGTAGTGTTTCAGCTCCTCAGACTCTCGGTACGATAGCTGTCTCTGGTGCATCGGGACCGCGATGCAAGGGTTGCGAACAAAGACTGTCAGCTTGCAGTCTAGTCGAGCAAGCTCCTGTACGATCTGCAGACCGGACGCTCCCTGCCCTACGATGCCAATCTTCTTGCCCTCCAGTTGGAGGTCGCTGGGCCACTTGGATGGGTGGACTATTCGCCCATGGAACGTATCCTGATTTGGGAAAGGAGGCATGTATGGCTTGTTCACCGAGCCGCATGCGAAGATTGCATACTTGGAGATAGCACATAGCCCCTTTGTCGTTTGGAAATGCCAGCGTTTCTTTGCTGCGTCATATTTCACCTCGTTGACTCGGGCGTCGAAGATCGTGTCCTTGCGCAGACCCAGTGTTGCATCGACGTGCTGAAAGTATTTGCGAATTTCCTCATGACCAGGAAATCGCTCGGTAAAATGGAAGTCGGCCCAGACTTTAGACAAGCTGAATTGATAGGCGGGCGTGTCGGAGTCGACCCTGGCACCGGGATACCGGTTGAAGTGCCAAACGCCGCCAAAGTCATCTCCACGCTCAAGGATCTTGGCAGAAAAACCCGCTTCTCGAATCTTGAACAAAGAATAACAACCGCTAAACCCTGCGCCAACAATGATGACGTCTGTCTCGAGCGTGTTTGCCTTGATTCTCTCCATTGTAATGAGAAGGGGCAAGTTTGTGTGGCTAACGATGTAATGTGAGATTTTTGAGGCAATGGTGAAGTCGTATGGATACGGTCAACTGGTGCAGGACAGTCATGGAATCACAACATTATCTTCGTTATTTAACTTTCTATTATTTGTGTCTTTGTGCAGTCAACTCCCTGTTATGGCAGAGCTCTCATGTCGGATGCTACCGTCGAGAGCTGTTTCTGACTTCTTGTGCAGAGTGTAATCAAAGATAATGGACGTGTCATAAGAGGACGGCAACGGCGGTGGACCTCAGACGGTGTAACATGCCGTTTGGGATCGTCGCAGGGCTCGCGGCCACCTGCTATGGCCATATCTACCGCCGTGGGAGGCCCCCCACCAGGGTAATGCAAGGCTAGAACAGACAGACCATTTTAGAGCCCAAGTAGCAGCCGCAACAACGCGCGGTACTCGTCTCCAAAAAGACGACCTTCACTTCGTTGGACAGCCCCACCGTGCGCTTCCGAACAAAGTAGCGCTCATTTCCCGCAAGAGGGATAGGCCACCGTTGAGCCAGCTCTGACTGAAACCCGCTGAAAGGGCAGAAATTCACTGCACTTCCAAAAACCGGCCGGCCGACATTACCCGCAGCAAGCAATGATGTTCTAGAACCCTCCATGGAAGTGGAGCCCGAGCTGCTGATGCTGCAATCGCCAAAGCAGACAGGGAAGTAGATAACCGAACTTCGGCTGAGGAGGTTTGCAGTGTGCGTGTCAAGCCTCTACACAAAAATGGCATCACTACCTCGTCAAAAGTACATGCATTGATTGCTATTGCCATAGAAGCTGGTGGGTGGTTTGCGTGGCTCGCCACAGTATATAATAACAAGTTTTCCAAAGAAGATTCAGTAGAGCTCTATTGATCGATTGCATAAGCCAACATCTTGTGGCAGGACCGATGTCTGGCTAGGAACTCGGCTGCTATTACAGGAGGGCTCCGTGAGCGATTAGCAGCTCGACTGCTTCTTCGCTCCTGTTCCGATTAGCAAAGAACAGCGGACTTTGTCCCCACTCTCCGGGGATATTCGGATCAGCTCCATGTTGAAGTAGGAGCTCCGCGCAGGCGAGGTTGTTGTATAGGATTGCGACACCGAGAGGCGTATGCATGAATGGTTCGATAGAGATTCCGTCAGGCACGGAATACCCTTCGTTTTGCCAATCAATCATAGATAGACAGCATTCCCTTACTGATGGGCCGAAACCGTCTGGTCCAAGATCGAAAAGCCGCCGTAAAATGTCATAACCTTCGGTTTCCGCCGACAAATTTGGTAATCCAAAATCTCCTGCCAGGGTATGCAGAATCGTGTCTCCGATCGAGTCACGTAAGAAGAGATTCGTAGAACGCGTGAGCATGTGACGCAATGCTTGAATTTTCCGGCCACAATCGAGCTGATGTTGTTGACGAGCATTCGTTGATACCCCCCGTCTGAAGAGGCGTTCTGGCGTTCGAACGAGAACATGGAAAATAAAGTCATTCTATCGAGTGTGTAAGAGCGCATCCAGCCATGGTCTAGCGTAAGGGGTACCATATGAGCCCCCTGGGTTTCTTGGTGTTCTTGATTCCCGACCCAATCCCTCGACGATGCCAGTGTCGAACTAGCAGCTTCGTCGTTGCTATCGTCGTTCCTCGAGGCTAAGGCATTTTCGAATGGATCTGGATATTCGTGTTCGAGGTAGGAGGCGTCGTTTGTCGGTACATATTGTATTGGAACACCACCTGTCTGCTCGGGACTATTGCTGCTAGAAGTTGGGGTATATACACCGGAAGACCACGAGTCAGAAGAGGTAAGGACTTCTTCAAATTCCACGGGATACGGATCGGCACCGAAGAAAAGCTCTGATGGATCTCGGTTCCGCAGATCCATCGCGTAAGTCGAAGCTTGCGTCAGCGACAGCTACTGTAAGACAAACGAAGGCCTCTGCGAAAAATACGTTGCGTTTCTACTGTGGCATCGAAGGCCACTTGAATGTTTATACTTTTCAGTCTGTGTGTCAAAGTTCAGAAGCTCCGTTCGAAAAGCAGAATCCGTTGCTCCTACATAGGAAGTACTTCAATAGCGTCTTGTTGATCTATCGACTGCTTCAGTACATGTATCAAAAAATTGCGCGACATTTTTCGTGTCCATAGAAGCCGTAACTACCTATGCGTGACAACTCCCAAACCGGCCACGCGCTTCGAAGTCTCTTTTGACCATGTTTATCGGATCAACCCAGTCAAGTACAGAATATATGCGATCATGCAGCGAGGACCATCGGAGTCAAATATCCTGAAAGGATACTGTAACAAGTACGCCCATTCCCGGGGGAAACTGTCCGGCCAGGCATACATGAAAACACCTTACGCATCTCGAGGCAGAAAACTAGCGACGAAAAATCATTGTACAATCACGTCGTGGCCAACAAATTTTACTGTCTGGAAAGCGAATTATATGGAAATGGAGAGCTCTTCACCAAAGAGTGAGTTTTAGTACAGTAGCAGCTCAACTCCTCTTCAGGTTATTGATAATGCCTCTCCTAGCCGACACGGACGCGCACAATAGTTCGCCAAGCCGAAAAGCGCCTGCTCCTGCTCGGGGCGGAAACGCAAAGCATCCCATTACACATGATTCACGGTACGCTTCATGTCTTATCGCTTGTCGCATGCTGGAAAGCTTACTATTTGCTAGCCCAAAGAGCTCTAGAAAGGGCCGCCTTCGCGACGTCGTTCAGCATGCAACAATCACTCCTGGGGCCACATTCAGCTGGGTGACGAGCGGCAGACTTGTCATGGAGTTCGTCAATGGTAGGATGGCGTACTATTTTGTGTCTGACGATGGTCATGTGATAGGTGTCTACCCTGGTGTTTGGAGTTGTCCACCTGTGTTCCAGTGGTCGTCAAATTGAGGGTTGGCAAGTAATCAGTCGGACCAGTAGCAGGAATTAGCATACCTGTAGTGGAAAATGCAAGCCTTAATGCAGCTCATCGTTGTAATCTTGCGGCACGATGCTATCGCAACGCGGGAATTGCACAGATACATATGCATTCAATTTTCCCAATCCTCAGATCTCGCTAAGATGAAGCCTGCTACAGTACAGTATACACCAGACGTTCTGGCTTTGTATAAATCCAGGCTATGACTAGACATGCTCAAAGTCACCCGTTTCCTCGTGGGATGGCGCAACTTGTTGGAGACGTCATTTTTTCGGCATCACAATCCTTAGCTTGCGCCTTGTTCCTCCCACCTCTTCCCGGTCATGAATATTGAGGATCTGAGGAGAGGGCCCAGATCTCTCAGTCGACTCCAAGTCCCTGAGACATATCGTCTGGTCGGATGTTGGTGGTTTGTTCATGGAACCAAACTCACTGCCCGGGCGAAACGGGGATGGCGGATCATCAGTGCCACTGCTTGTCGCAACTCGGTTCGCCTCCTCCAGCCGTTGTCGAAACACAGTTTTTTGGAGTAAGCTTTGCGGACATGCTTGTGATGCAGAATGGGATGCTGCAAAAGCCGGAAAGAGTAAAAGATCTTCATAAGCATCAGCAACTGACCGCCCGCACTTTGCAGGAAGGTAGTCTTGCGAGTACGGTAGCGTCATCATCTGAAACTGAAAGGTCGAGGAGACAAAGTTTCCAGATCTCATGGCACCAGGATTATCTATTGAAATGGCATACATCAGCCACATATGGCGGCAATCTCAACACCGCAGGCTACTGAGATAATCTAACACATTCAACATACCACCTCTACGCCTACAGCGAGTTCTGGCCCCAGATCACCAATGCTATAAAAGACAAGTTGGCGCGTGGCTTTGCAGTCTCTCATCACACATGCTGAGTTGAATCGCAGAGACCGCCATGGAGATCTGGGCGTTTGCCAATATATACACTGCTGGTCCTACAGCAAGCTCGGTCCAGTCACCTTCAAGTACAGTAACCGAGCTACCTCGAATGTGCACGTGGACCCAGAGAGGGGGTCCGCCGACCACAACGGCAACTCGTACTACATCATTGCCGAACACGCTTACTTCCGCTCATCGGTTCTGGAACGCTACCCCCATTCAGGATACGCGAAATATCAGCACTGTGATCAGTGTGACGACGACGATACCCAGTGGCAATCTTGAGCCGTCTTGGACATACGACAAACCGACAATGCACATACCCACGGCCGTACCCATCAGCGCAACTGTCTCGCATCGCGCCCGCTGTGATTGCCTGGCAGCCTTTTTCATTTTACTCGTCGTTGTATCTCTGTGGGAATACATCGGCTAGAGCGATTGAGCGCTCTTTAACGATGCTGGTTGGCGAATTTTCATGCAACATGAGACAGCAGCTGGTGTTGAGGTGGTTGCATATCCACATTCTGCCTAGATCGAGGTTGTAAACTCCGGGCTTCGGGGTTGAGCAAGGTTCGTAGGATGAAATTTCACATGTATGGTGTGCTATTAGACGCAATGAATGAAGACCGTTGACGCATTGGAATTGGGCCCTTCAAGCCTGTGATTCGCTGTCAACACCACAAATAGTCACAATGGTCAGTGTTGTTCTCCAACCATCGAAGTTGGGATTCTCCGCATGCTCGTATTTCACTCCTCTTGAGAACCAACAAAAGTAGGGTTCATGGTACATAAGACCTACGGGGAAACGAGACCTCCCACAATTTTCGGTTGAATTACAAGATGAGATGGGCAGATGTGGCGTATCAAAATACGGATACCAAGCAGTATTTGAAGACTTTCCCGTCATTTATGTGAGTGTTTGTTTGTTTGTTTGTTTGTTTTGTATTTAACGCCTTAGCGGCAAGGGCGCAGCCGCCCTTGCGGCAGACCTCCCGAAGGGTATGTGGCGTGGAGGGCCGCAGGCTCTAGCTACATACTCTGCAGTACACGCCGCTTC